TCCACATATACAATTTAGATGGGTGCAATCTTACTCCAGGACACATTCCACATATGCATAGTTTAGATGGGTACAATATTACTCCAGAACACATTCCACATATAAATAGTTTAGATGGGTACAATCTTACTCCAGGACACATTCCACATATACAGTTTAGATGGGTACAATCTTACTCCAGGACACATTCCACATATACAATTTAGATGGGTACAATCTTACTCCAGGACACATTCCACATATGCATAGTTTAGATGGGTACAATCTTACTCCAGGACACATTCCACATATAAATAGTTTAGATGGGTACAAGCTTACTCCAGGACACATTCCACACATATACAGTTTAGATGGGTGCAACCGTACTCCAGGTCACATTCCACATATACACAGTTAAGATGGGTACAATCTTACTCCAGGATACATTCCATATATCCAGTTCAGATGGGTACAATCTTACTCCAGGACACATTCCACATATACAGTTTAGATGGGTACAATCTTATCCAGGACACATTCCACATATACAGTTTAGTCCTGGAATAAGATTGTACTCATTGGATATATGGAATGTATCCTGGAGTAAGATTGTACCCATCTGAACTGGATATATGGAATGTATTCTGGAGTAAGATTGTACTCATCTAACCGTACCCATCTAAACTGTATATGTGGAATGTGTCCTGGAGTAAGATTGTACCCATCTGAACTGGATATATGGAATGTGTCCTGGAGTAAGATTGTACCCATCTGAACTGGATATATGGAATGTATTCTGGAGTAAGATTGTACTCATCTAACCTGGATATATGGAATTTATCCTGGAATAAGATTGTACTCATCTAAATTGGATATACGGAATGTAATCTTAGTCTGTGACGCATTCCACATTTACACAGTTTAGATGGGTACAGGCTTACTCCAGGACGCATTCCACATACACAGTTTAGATGGATACAATCTTAGTCCAGGACACATTCCACACATATACAGTTTAGATGGGTGCAACCGTACTCCAGGTCACATTCCACATATACACAGTTAAGATGGGTACGATCTTACTCCAGGACACATTCCACGTACACAGTTTAGATGGGTACAGGCTTACTCCAGGACGCATTCCACACATACACAGTTTAGATGGGTACAGGCTTACTCCAGGACACATTCCACACATACACAGTTTAGATGGGTACAGGCTTACTCCAGGACGCATTCTACGTACACAGTTTAGATGGGTACAATCTTACTCCAGGGCACATTCCACGTACACAGTTTAGATGGGTACAGGCTTACTCCAGGACGCATTCCATATATCCAGTTTAGATGGGTACAGGCTTACTCCAAGACACATTCCACATACACAGTTTAGATGGGTACAGGCTTACTCCAGGACGCATTCCATATATACAGTTTAGATGGATACAATATTACTCCAGGATACATTCCACACATACGTACCATTGTATTCACGGTAGTGAACGTTTCGTCGTGTACTAAGTACAAGTCAGAACAAAACTACTTGGATGAATGTCATGACTTTGGCTTTAATTAAAACAAAGATTAAATCAGAGTGTGTCAGTGGGATACTTTATCTCTTACATACTGAAATCAAGCACAGCAATCAAGTCAAAATAGAATATGCAGAGACATGACCGAACCTACTGTTTCCAATCCTTACCGCTTGGAGGAATGTTACTCATCAATACGATTGTGTTATAACTTTTACCATAAGAGCTGCTAAAACTCTACAATTATCAATAAATAGTTTTGATTATGAGTGATAGGTCATCGATTAGATTCTTAACCTCTTTCAGCGTTACCTTTATTATTTAAGCTTGGATTTGAATTTGGACAATATTGGTAGATTATTACCGTAAATGACAAGAAATATACGATCACTTATTTTTTCTTGCTTACAATATTTACTATATATATATATATATATATATAGATGTTAAATTGTGCTGTGTTTATTAATTGTAATGCTAGTTATAAGTTTAAGAGCTAATCATTCCAAATTATATTACAAATATATGTGCTATGTAAGGTTATATGGCCTGAATGATATCAAACAAATAAAAACCATTAATTTTTGAAACCTTTTCAGTAAGCTTATTCATGAGGTTTTTTTTTTTCTTCCTTTTAACTTTTGAGAGAATTTATCGTCGACATGCAAGTGATAAAAAAGAATCTGGACAAATGTTAGTCTTGTAGCTTAGATATAAAAACTGGATTTCTAATAACATAAGCCATAGAAACTAAGTAAGGAAAATTATCGATTTGTATGAGTCAAACAAAAGAAAACAGAAATACCATCAACAATGAATAACATGACTCATACAAAATAAAAACAAAATACCAACAACAATGAATAGTGTGGTTTATGAAAAAAGTAATAATACTAACAGCAATGAATAGTGTGGTTCATAAAAAAGGTAAAATACCAACAACAATGAATAGTGTGGTTCATAAAAAAAGTAATAATACTAACAACAATGAATAGTGTGGTTCATAAAAAAGGTAAAAATACCAACAACAATGAATAGTGTGGTTCATAAAAAAAGGTAAAAATACCAACAACAATGAATAGTGTGGTTCATAAAAAAAGGTAAAAATACCAACAACAATGAATAGTGTGGTTCATAAAAAAGATAAAAATAC